CATGAGCGGGAACGGGCGCCTAGGGGCGGGGAGGGCGTAGGGAGCACGGGACACCCCACCGCACTCAGCCCTATTCTCAAGCCTGACCTTGGCCACACCGCAAGCCGATGGGCGCTGTTGCTCCGACGTTGGAGCAACCTCGCTAGGTTTTTGTCAAAATCTTCATACTCGTAGGAATCCACTTTACCTGCGTTCCTTGCACTGAGGCCTCATAAACAACCATAGGACACCATTTTTGCAAAAGAAAAACTGAGGAATAACCAAAGCAGCACGCGGAGGAACAAGCCCGGGTCCCGTGCCCCAGCCCTGGCGTACCCGGTGGCCGCAGCCATGACGCAGCCGCCCTGCTCTGCCACAGCGTCTGAGCAGCAGCCGTCGGGGTCGTGGCTGAGGCCCAGGTTGTGGCCGATCTCGTGGGCCATGGTGGCCGCAGCGCCGATGGGGAGCTCAGAGTGGTCCTGGGAGGGTGCGTGAACATCACCGCGGACGCGAGCGCCGCCCCACTCCCTGTCCCCAAGGTCCCTGGCTCACCATGCTCACACCTCCCGAGCTCTCTGCGCGACACATGCCCTCGACGGGAGCCAGGCCCACGGTGGCGCCCCGGAAGGTGCAGCCCCTGAAGGCAGAGCGCAGCGTGACCCGAAGTCCTGGCAGCCCTGCCAGCCACCCACTTAGGGGTCAGAGGCACCCACGTGAGTAGCTGCGCTGAGTCGTGAGGCCGCCTCGCCCACAGCCCCCGGCGCCACTGCAGGAAGTCCCAGAGTGTGGCGTTCGCGTCAGGTGTGACGCGGCTGTGGTCCTGCTCTGTCCACACTTCCAGGCCGGTCAGCACCACCTGAATGTCCAGAGTCCTGAGGATCTGAAGAGGGGGAGGCTTGAGGTCCCTTGGAGGCTGCACCCCTCTCTCCCTGCCAGGCCACACCACCTCTTCCTGCCTCCCCAACCTGGTCTACATAATTGGCAACCTCCAGGAGACGCTGTTTGGTGTGGTTCAAATTCCGGTGCTGGATCAAGTACTGGGAAGGCAGAAAAACCCACGCGCCATGAGGGGCTGTGCTGGCCCTGCTCCAGCCCCACCCAACCCCTGGGGCTGCCCTCACCAGGGAGTGATCAGCTACTATGTACAGCTCCAGGTACTTCCTGCCCCTGGGAACTTCTCGCCTTTCCTGTGGAGGGGCAAATGGTGACCTTGAGTGGCAGGCTGCTGGCCTTGAGTCCTGCCTGACCACCAACCCCAGTTACCAGAAAGAACAGAAACAGAACTAGTTTCTTCCACTTCTGAGTTAAAATATCAGGATAGGTGGCCCTGCCCTGGAGTGTGCGTTCCTGTCTCCTGATTTGGGGTACCACATAGGCACATGGTATTTGCTCTCCCACCGAGATCTGTGTCCCTGACCCTGCTCTGGGGGACAGGAGGAAGCCTGGCCATGCCCCCTTTGGCCTCAGGATCCCTGTAGCTGCAGGTCCCTTTCCAGACGAGCAGCCTCTCCATCCGAAAAGTCCTATAGGTTGAGAGGTCCTCTGGGTCCCCAGGTGGCCAGGGCTGCAGGTAATAGCTGGCATTGCTGTTGAGCCTGATCAAGCCCCTAGGTGCAGAGGGGTGAGAGTGGGGTGTCAGGGAGCTCTTGACTCAGCCTGGGCCAAGCCCCAGCCCCAGAACTGCTCACCTCATCCCAGAGCAGGTGCTGAGCACGACCCAGGAGTTGGGGAAGCCCCTCACTCGCCCATGGTAGTGACAGTGGTCCTGGAGAGAAAGGAACCCGACCCCAAACCTCAGCCAGGGCTGAAGCCAGAGGGAAAGGGGTACAGAAAGGGGAGGGCAGAGCTGGCTCCAACTTCCCCTAGGAATGGAGGTGGGGTGGGGTGGGGTAGGGATAGTGAGGGCTGTCTCAGGTGCCCAGGTGCCCAGCACCCTCACCCTGCCCTCAGAGCCCACAGAATGTCTCACCACGTGGTTGGGGACCAGCACCACTGGCTGCCCATCTTGGCTATAGTGGGTTTCTGTGTAACCAGCAGCCAGCAGCCTGCTGGGAGAGGATTTTAGGAATCACTTCATGTAGCCCAGCTTCCACCCTATCTCCCTCTCTGAATGCTAATTGAGCAGCTCTAGGAGTGAGGCACGCTCAGGAAAATATTGGGCTCTAGAGAGAGAAAGGTAAAGGTCGGAAAGAGCCCTCTGGATGTCTTAGATGTGTGAGGCGGGGCAGGGGAAGCACCAGAGAGGAGGAGGAAGAGGGCGAGGGCCTGTGTTCCTGTGGACCTGCAGCGGGCAGCTAGGCCCACGGGTCAGGAGGGGAAGCTTCAAGAGGTGCTGCTGAGAAGGTGGGACTTGGAGCCGCAGAAGTGTGGGGACCCCCTGAAGCCTGCTGCCATCTCCTTCGTTTCTTCCCCTCAGGCCTTTAGACCCCACACAGCTCCTGATGCCCCTCAGTGATGCTCCCGGCCTGCTTCCAGAGGAAACAGCCCACACCTGCTCCTGCCCCGCTCCCTTCAGCATGGACTCCCTCCCCACCTTCTCCAGACCCATTCCAGTGAGGATTCCATCCTTGGGACCCTTCCCCCTGGAAGGATCAACTGAGAGGATTAACTCCTTGAAGAAAATCCTTGGCTCCAACTTCACCATGGGCTATTTACCTCCAGACTCTGAAAGACCTGCGATGTCTGCTTTCCCACTTCCCACTCATTCCTCCCCCTCCTCCAGCCTTACTCCCCACTGTGTGTGGGAAAGTGCACACATGCCGTGCACACACGCACACCATTCAGGACACACAGAATCAAGTCCCGTGGAACTTGTTTGTTCCGTGGCATCTGACTTCACGAGGGAGAATAAAACACACAGAGTGCTCAGCACAGTGCCTGCTGGGAGACTAAGTGATACCAATGGATAATGAGTTTGGATGGTTCTAAAACGCCACACTCCATGCTGGGCACCCACTCACTCAGCCTGAGCCTTATCCACCTGCTCATTCGCCCACTCGGACTCTTTGGCTGTGTGTGTCCAGGATCTGCTGCTTTAAAACGCCTTCCTTGTGAGCTGTCTCTGCTGGGGCCCCTAAGTTCATTTCCTCCCACTTTCTTCCTTGCAGATGTTAACTCTCCAGGCAGGCCCACATTGGGGCACTGAATGTGCTTTGATTCTTGTCGCTGCTGCATCTCTGTCTGTCCCCTCTGTCCCTTCAGTCGGGAGTGCCGTCCCAACTGTGGAAACAGCTGAGATTCTTCTGACTCAACACTAGGTGGCGCTCACTGGCCTCCAGCAGGGAGTTACCAAGCGGCTGTAGAGTTCCACACTGGGGCTCACCCAGCTTTAACAGTCCACTTCAGCCTCCAGGGGGCCAGCCAGAGGCTGGAGTGACTTCGGTCACCTGCAGCCCTTCTGAGTCCCTTTCTCATTCAGCCTGCCTCGGGGGTCCACATCAGTCCTTCTTGACTCCAGCCACACCACAGCCTGGTACTTACTGGTTCTTCTCCAGCTCAAGCAGGAGCTCCTGGCCTTCAGCTTCCAAGGCCAGCAGCCCCGAGTCTAGGGTTGAGATCTAGGTGAGAAGGAGCACAGGCTGTGATGGGAGCAGGGGGCTGTGGAGCTGGCTCTTGAGAAAGCTCACAGGGACAGCAGCCATCGTGGAGGGCACCGACAGGCATGGGATGGGAATACTCAAAGATGTTCCCAAACTGGGAACTGGGACAACAGTCACGTAAAGTACATAAACGTAGAGTGCCAGGGGTGTGCCACGTCCTCCCTAAGACAAGGAGCCCCAGAAAGGCACCCTGCTTTTCCCAGAGTTACTGGGCCTTCCCCTTGGCCTGCCTTCTTTTGTGCCCAGAAAAGGCATGACGGGGTGAGGAAAACAGTGGAGTCCAAAGGGCATTATCATGAGGGACATTGAGTAGCTCAGGCCTCCTCACAGCCTCTGTGCTATGTGCAGACTTGTTTCAGTTTTTTGTTTTGTTTTGTTTTTTAGGTGCTGGGGATGGGACCTAGGGCCACACAATGCTGGGCAAGTGCTCTACCACTGAGCTGTAGCCCCAGCCCTCTGTGTCTGTCTCTTGCTGGCATTCATTCTGGAATGCAGACTTTATTCCTCCACGTCTAATTCTAGCAAACCACCCTCTCTTCCAGGTTTGCATGGTTCCAGCAAGCCTGCCTCACACCTTAGCTCACAGAGTAAATGTGGACCCCACCCCAGACTTTCGCCCCTAGAACTTGAGAAGGCCTTCTCCCCACCCTCTCTGCCACCTCCACCTCACGGGAGCACACCATCTTCCACACCCTGTCCACTCATCCTGGCTGGGGGCCCAGAGCTGGAACCAGCTCAGGAGATTCCTGGGGGGCTGCTGTATCTTTGGAATGTTTGCCTCCACCCTGGCTGCTCCTCCCCTTTTTATCCTAAAATGCAGTGGGCTGGGACCAAGGCCAGGGGGCTCAGAGTCAGGGGAGGACTTCCTCTGCAGGTGGGGAGCAGACAGCCCTCATTTCCCCAGCCAGGCCCTGTGAGGCCCAAGCATGAGCTCATTCGGCTGGAATGCCACTGGTTTATTGGGAAAAGCTTACACTAGGAGAAAGGCAGTGGCCCAGATGGGAGGCCACACTGGAGGTCCCTGTCCCTCTGCAGCGCCTACAGCCTTCTCTTCTTGCCTTTCTGGTAAGCTTGCAGCTCCCCATGTGAGCATCCCGCTCCTGAAATGTGAGTGTCCAGCCTCTAGAGGGTACCCTGCCAAAGCTCTGTCTCTCGCCTGAGTCCCTCTCCTGGCAAGCTTCCTGGGGATGGGGCTGGAGTTGGTGAAGCAGGCTCTCTGGAGTTCTTCTCTGGGTCACAGCCGAGGCCAGACAGGGAGGCCCACGTATTAGGTGACACCAGCATGTGCCAGCCTACCCCTCTGCCAGGGCTGTCCAGAAGGCTATCAAGGCACAGACCAGTTGAGTGGGGGCCCTAGAGGTCTGAAGATCCCCAATGAAGGACCTAGTTTGGGGCCTCCAGGCTTCGTGACAACACTCTCCAGTCTTTGTCCTTGCTGGACGTGGACAGTGGGGCTGTGCTATCTTCCCTGGAAATGCAGAACCGAGTGCTTTCAGGCCTCAGCAGGACTCAGGCTTCTGGGCCCAAAGAGCTGTGTGGCTGTGGGCAATTTTCCTTAAGTTTGCCCCTCTGTGAAATGGGCACACCAAGGCTACTGGCTTCTTTGTTTGGAGTGCAGATGCCGTGGCCTGAACAGAGGGGGCACGGTAACTCTGGAAGAGTGGGATGGGTAGGAGTTGGGAGGAGGCAGGGCAGATGTTCTGAAGAAGCAAAATGAAGTAGGCTTGCATCTGGGGGCACAAGAGAGTGACCACTGCCTCTGCCTACAGGTGGATTCCACCGGAGGCAATGAGACTGCTGTTTCAGGACCCCGATGGCAGGCCCCTGGGAGAGACAACAGTGTGATCACAGACAGGGTCACCTGCTATGGTAAATTCAGCCAAAGGAAGTTATTTTTGATATCTTTTTAAAGAGGCTCCTGAAGGGCCTCAGGGCCCCCAAACTCTGGGCCACCTCAGCCTGGTGGGGGTGGGGTAGCCTGAATAATGCAGGGAGGAGGAAGGGAGAGGGAGCGGAGGGTGCTGGAATGACTTCCATGTGTGCCGCTCTGGCCAGCTTGTTGCTTCCCCATCTGCCCCGCCTGCCCACCCAGGGGGAGGGGCAGAAAAGCTGCCCAGCTACCACCGAGGGAAGGGCAGTGGGGGTGGGAGACCCCAGACCCTGCAGAGGGTGGGGTAACATAGCACTGACCGGCTCTTCCGGGGTGACTGTGTGCCAAGGGCGCCCATCCAGGACCCAGCGGGAGGTGACTGCCTCTCCAGAGGTGTTTCCTGCAATAAGGATGCACAGATGAAGAGTGCTTGAGGAGCAGGGAGGCGTGGGGACAGCAGAGCGACAAGGATACAGACATTGCTCCTGAGGGGCAGGCTCCATCTCCAAAACTTGGCTCAGCCTAGGGACGAGCTGGCACTCATGGGACATCCTCAGACCTGAGAAGCCACCAGTAAGGGACAGAGAGAGATAAGAGGTTGGGAAGGAAGAGCTCAGCCAGGGATCTGGGAGCTGCCTGACCTTGGGGGGCAGGCTTGGGGTCAGAGGTCATAAGAAAGAGGCCCAAGAGCCCAGTACAGAGGGGAGGGGCAGGAGGAGGCAGCTATGGGTATTTTTAGACTGGGCAGCAGATGCCTTTAGGATGAGAGATCCGTCAGAAGGCTGCCTGTCTCTTCCACCAAAGGAGAGAAAGTCAGATGTTGTCTTGGGAATCTACTGTGCAGGACTCCCCTTGGGGCTTGGTGCCCAAGGCCCAGAAGCCCCTGCTTTTGTGTTCAAAGAGAGGGGCACCCAGGGCACAGAGCCTCAGTCCTCCCAGCCAGGGTGTGCCGAGGGGTTTCTAGGAAGAATGCCAGAGCCAAGCATTGCTCAGAGGAACCTGGAGTGCTCCTGCCCTCCCCTGCCCATTTCATGACTCACCCAATAGGAGCCTACAGCCAGCTTTCCCACCCTTCTGCCACTCAGTTCCCAAAGCAAGCCCAGCATCCAGGAAAGACAGCTGCCTACCCACTGCCCAGCCCTGAGCCCAGACCTGTCCACACTGATGGCCCCTGTGAAGGGGGCCCAGGAGGGCACCTGATTTCTTCCTCCTGCACCTCCTCTCCCAGACCTCAGTCATGGAAGGTCTGGAGTGACACAGCTGCAGGAGTCCCCTGCCCTCTGCTTAAGTGATGACTGAGTGGACATGAGGCAGGTGGGGAAAGGGGGCTACAGCCTTGCTAGCCTCGCTACAGAGGCTGAAGGAACCAGTGTAGGTGGCTGTGATGGGGTCTGGGAGAATGGAAAGAGGTGATCACTTAGCCTGAGGGGGCTGAACTGGGGAGAACCAGGACTTGCTAGACCAGGCCTCTGAGGATGGGGGTATGGGTATGGTGTGGCCCTGCACACACTTGCTGCCCACTGGCACCACGGCACAGGGGCAGAGACGGAGCTGGGTTCCCAGCCCAAGGAGAAGAGTGGGAATGGAGGGAGTCAGTCTGGGTTGGGAAGTATAACGCCCCTCTCTCCCAGGGGTCCCAGGCTACCCCCTGGCCCCTGGCTAGACCTGTGAGGGTACCGAGCAGTGGGATGTCTAGGAATGGTCCTCAAAGGCATGACATCTTTCACCTTCCCTTTCCAGGCCAGTGCAGATGAAGTGCACCTACCAGTGGGTCCCCAACACAGAGCTGTGCAACTTGAACCCTCCGGGCTGCCTGCCCAGCCCAGGCCTCCGTGCCTCCTCTCTGGATGCCCTTTCTGCCCTCCTGCCAGGGACTTGCTGCACAAGATCTGGCAAATCCTCCCACCAAGTAGTCCTACCTTGCCCAGAGTTCAGGGAGGCTCCCCTAGAAGAGAGCTGTAGGCTTTCCAGGCACTGCCAAGTAGACCCTGTCTGTTTGGAGAAGTCCTTGTCTGTCTAACCAAACAAGGCAACTCTATAGACAGTACACACACTGTCTGGGCCGGGGAAGATAGGGAGCCACAGGACAGTGGGAGCTGCGGGCAATGAAGACGCAAAGGGCTCAGCAGGGCTGGAGGAGGAGACCTGCTGGCCCTGGACCCTGGACATTCAGAAGTGTCCATCCTGCGGGTGTGACACTGGAGAGTCCAGGCAGCAGGTGCTGGAGCTGGGCAGATGCTGGGTGGCCACCTTGTCTCCCTGCTTTGCCCCTAGCTGGGGTGGGGGAAATGCGGGCAAGATGGCCTGATGCCAACCCAAGCCGTGAGTCCCCGAGCAGATCTCCTGGGTGCCCACACAACTCCTCTCCGTGCCCTGTCCTGCCTGGGTGGTGCTTGCACTGCAGACCCTTCATGCGCTGGCCCTGTCTTGGGACTCAGCCATCCCCACCTCAGCCACCCACCTGCCCCTGGGCCCCACCTGCCCGCATCCTCACCTGGAAGCACCCAAGCCTCAGACACTGGCCCCCAGGACGGCAGCAGTAGTGACAGCAGCCACCTCAGCACAGGCGACCCCCGAGCTCTCAGAGACCCCCTTCCCATGGCTGGGAGCACCCGGGCCTCCAGGCCTCC